TTCTCATTCGTCACAGGTATGCGAACCATTTGAACAAGTTAAGTCAGGGAACACTTAGCTCACCGAAAGAACTCATTCTCAGTCTGTTCTGGAGAATTCAAACAAAATTCGACATACGGAGAAATCGAATTCAATATCAAATCCTTAAGGTGGGTGGCAGTGATCATGCTGGCAAGGTACGGAATGATACTGTTTCTGAATATGGGTGCACATGCCGAATAGAGTTGGTAATTGAAGCGCGTTGAGGGTTTCGGCATAACTTTCATGGTTTCTTGATGCCGACATTGCCATTGATCGCAGTTTATTTAGTCAATATGCGAAATCCCATGCGTCGAAGAGCTTGAAAACAAACAAAAGAATCAACCAAAGCAGTTCTATCAGTGGAACAGCCGCGGGATAAAACTTTAGGTGATCTGTTGAGCAGGATGGGATACTTTACCTAAAATTGAGATTTAGAGGAGCAGTATAACCAGTGTGGAAGAATTGGGTAAGATAACATATTCAAGAATTAGGTTCCATATCAATGGTTAGTTTTTCAAAAACGAATATATAAAAGACAGTTTGCGTTTAATTCCAACTAATTGTATAAAAAGTGCCTGCTCATACGATATTTGTGGAAATGCCTGTATACCCCGTGCGTTCATTATCGTAATAAACGAAATCAAGCGAAGAATAGGGACAAAACAGCCACGGAAGAGGATCATTTGCATTAGGAAAAAAACAGTGCATTTATTCGACGGCTTACATACGACTCCATCCTCGCACGCGGCAACCAGATATTCCAAATTCTCAATATAGATGGCCTTAAGAAAATTTTGTGCACGGTTCTGTGAAGTAAATTAACGAGAAACAACATGCATCCAATGCTCATGTGTGATGAATATGCGAAACAAAGATGTATGATCAACAATGAAATTGAGACTCATTTTTCACGAAATGGAAATCACTTCAGAAAACATTCTCCGGGAAAACTCTTCCGTTACTCTGACAATTAGACTTCGAATCTTTTTTAGCTATATCCGTTGCATTCTATCTTAATTAAGTTTATAACCCTTTTTATTGTACATCTTAGTGTGATGAACAGAAGACGGGCTAAACGCCATAGTCAAGAGGACCTGCAGTTCAGTGATGGAATCCGGCAACCTAAGCCCGGGACTTGAAGTGGCGAACCACATAAGGCAGCTCTAGGTTAAGCGTGGTATTTAACCAAACGACAGTAAAGCTATCTATCAAAAAGTTGTGTGGTGATGCTAGGGTTCGAACCTTCGACCAGGGAGTTCGAAGCACGCCGACGACAACGACTAATCACTGCGACATCGCCACCATAAACTGTTCATTTTGATAAACCTCCACGTAGCCGTTACATCCACGAAGCTGCATTGATGTGACGTTTTTAACTCGAAATCCACTCATTGTATGTGAGTTCACACAAATAGATACATATATTCATAAATACTATGGTTTACGTTTAATTTTTTTCGATGCATTTTTCACTCCTCGAGAATTCATTTCTTTCCTTTATTTTGACATCAACTGCCGGGACTTAAACTGTGAATGTTTGGTTTAGAAGCCATAATCCTTAACTTTGAGCTACATGATCGACACCAGGTATAATACGCACAAATCAATGACTGCTGACAAATTCGAAACTGCTGTCCAGCGACGCTGTCCGCCTTCAAACAAACCAATCATATGTATTTTTATCATAATCCTGTTATGTTGTTCCTCGGGGTTCGACCGACTCCATTGCCTCTTCCTTACCCCCCNTCCCCCCCCCCCTCCCAACAGTAATACGGGAGAGAGAACACGACTGGAGAAAAACACCCAGAATGTATCCCATGCTCATGATTCACTACGCAAAAACAAGTGGGTAAATTGGGTGTGCGGGAACAACGTGGTGAAGCACCAATAAGATCGCGTCCTTGACACTGATTGGTCTATCGGACGACAGATGTCTGATTCATCCTAGTTATTCAATCCGGAATCAGCTCTCCTTGGTCGTCGCGAGCACGCTTGTGGTGTGGCGCGGATTCGTGCACGGCTGTATGGGCTCTATGAGCTCCGTCCTGATAAATCTTAATCTTATATGTGGAGTTCATAGAACTGAATCTCACTGTACTCTGTTTCCTGAGTTGGATGGTGCTCACTAACAAACAATGGGTGAAGCAACTTTCGAGATTATGAAACCTTAAATTGGTGCAGAGGATCCAAGCCTTTGGTCTGTGGTTTGCTTCATTTTCGATTATAATTCCCAGTTCATTGGATCAGTCAGTCATTAATTCCACGAATAAAGGAAATGAAGTCCACTTTCTTCAGTGTTGCGTAACTCGTATACTTTATTCGGGAGCTGAATCCTGGACCATTTGCAGGGGGGCTGTGTGTTGTCCCACGGGGCCAGTCAGATAACATAGACTGACTAGAACCAGTCATTGATATTTGCTCAAATACCGTTCTCAATGACAGTCAACCAGTTACTCCGCACTTTCAGGTTTATTTTAATGAAGCGAATCGCAGTGATCTATCTGTTGACTGGAATCAGTTTATCAACACAAGGTTGCGCCAAAGCTAGCTTAAAAAATTAACAACAAACTCATGGCTTACACATAGGCATATATGAGCATCTGCAAATAGATCTGCCACGGTAATTGGTGACTGTTTGCTCGCTTTATTGAAAAGCATTTTGCTAAATTAGACCGCTCGAACTGCGATCGATGTAGATGCGCATATATATTCTGCGAGCTAGGACCTACAACTTCTGATGCAATGTATTCACGGTCTGACTTTCCAGTCGATCAAGGATGAACCAATTCCCTTGATCTAGTTAGTTTTTTGTAATCACCACTCATTTCATATTCATCTCTGAGGTTACTCACCTACTTCCATCAACAATAGACCCGTATCGCAAACAGTATCCACTGCATACCGCATGATAGTAACTGTTTATTGTTGTCATTAAAGTGACCTCAAATTTTCCAAGTTGAAACGCGCTGTACAAATGAGGTAATAATTGAACCGATTAAAACCATAAACCCATTTCAAGTGACCATTTGTGGTCAAAGCTGACGGCAAGAAAAGTTGAATTTCATTGAGAAAAAACCCGCGCGGGGTTTCAGACTCGTATAATGAGTTGAATCCATTTAATCCACCTCATCAAATGAGAAAAATGACTCCAAAATGACCGCGAGTTTCACATATCTGACAAAATGTATGGTGTATTGCATGACACTAACTGCCTTGAAAGTGTGTTTTATGATGCAACTGTTTAAACGGCACTTACAAAAATAAATTTTGTTCTACAACAGTTTTGATGTACTCCAGCCCTAAGTTGTCATGTCTAAATGAGGTATTTCTTCTAAAATTATACGGCTTCTGCCCTTCTTCTTTTTATATTTATGGTATACCTTAAGCGTCAGCATAGACGTTCTGTATCCGTGCTCAACATTTTGTGGTAATTGTGAACTTTAATGATAACACGCGAAACTTGACGTACACGATGTACACGAGAGTAACCATGACAGTAAACGAAATAATTTAGCCTTTGATCGCACTCTGTCCCAGTAGTACATTACTGCACAACTGCAACTTGTCTCACACTCCTTACCAAGTCAAACGTTATCTATCATTTCGGAGGTGGGTCGTAAGTCACCTAGTATATTCCGCAGGAGGTTTAGCGCAATTAACGTTACGCAATCACAGATGAGCGCGAACACACGAAACTGTCACGAAATGAATCATCAGGTTCATTACAATAAATTATTGCAATAATGATAAGTATTGTAATAAATTATTCAGAAATGTTTGACCAGTTAATTTATTTTATAAAGACAAATATATTTATAGCTAATATTTGACCAATTAACATTGGAATGGTTAATAGGAAGTACTGATGTGACAGGGATCAACTGATGGAATCACCACCACTACCACCATCACCACCAACGCTTCCCACAGTGTGTCAACTGAAGGAACTTTGTGTTACTTCGACTCTACTCCAGTTATGCGTAAAATTGTTTCTCCTACCTCGTGCTTGAACTCAGTATTCCCTGATTTATACAATCCTTTTTCTACAATAAGCACCAAATGATTTTCAGCGAGATCTCTCTCGGACGTACATTCAGTCATTCTAAAAACTTTTTTATTGTGTTCTGTGTGGCACTATTTTCTTTCTTTTTATGCACTACGGAAATGAAGAAAGGTGTCTGAAAGTGACTAAGGGATGCCTAGAGGCGTAAATCGCTGAGAACCTTTGGCAGAGATATCGAGATTCGAACGCAAAACTTCCCGAACACTGTAAGTTTGATCTAATACGGGTTTTCAGCGTATCCTAGGACCATTGTGCTCCGAAAAGTTGAAGAAGGCTAAATAATTCTTCCACCCTATTGTAAAACCGCTTTTAGGAATTAGATCGGCAGTATTTCTTTCAGATACAGTTAACCTTCCGTTTTTCAAAAGACGCCAAATCCGCACCACAGATTATTCTCTCGACCGTAGTTCAATGTAAAATATAATACAATACCAATGCAATGGAAACTTCTCATATGCTGCTGATATATAAAAATTAAAATTTCTGTAGGGATCATATTAGACCTTAAAAAATTGAAATTTAAATACCATCTATTTTTCATATATTTTCTCCATGTACAGGAAAAACAAGTACTGGATTATTTAATAATCGACCGTTGCAGAACATGTTTTCAGTCACATACACTTCACACATAAGAAACTTCCACGAATGTTTGAGGCCACCCTAACCCTCCGCCTCCGTATTATGACCGTGACTTTCAAAGCCTGTACAACAGGGGTTGTGAACGAACTCGCATCAGAAGAACCGTCTAGAAACACACGGTTTTCTTTCTCTGAGCAGCATTGGGTTCAACAAATCAGTGGAAACAAAGTAGGCTTCAGATGTAATTGTTGGTTTAGAAAACACGTACCGGGTTAATCACAAACTGATTTTTCTGTTCCATTCTCTTATGTCTGCTAGAGCTTCGACTAGGACTGCATGAACGAGCCGAATTGGGACGCGAAGATGATAAACTACGCGCTGTCACGCTTTGATTACTGTTGAGCAACTCATCCGGTTTCTCAGTCCGGATGAGCAATGATGGGGGGAACAACGAGTCCCATGCTTCCGGTTTCATTCCGGCAAAACACCGCAATTTTTGCTCCACCGTTCTTTGTATACACTCTTGAACGGATTCTTCTATGGGAATGGCCTCATACCTGGAAGGTATTGTTCAAATAAAAAATATGGTCAGTCAATATCTGTTTAAAAACCGTACTCTACATGTTGGCAAAAGGTTGACCTCATTAAGTGTAAGACGATAACTAGAGAACAGCCCACAAATTAAGATTTTACCAATTTAGTATAATAACTCTTGATAACTGGAGTTTTCCTCGATGAAAGCGCTTCCGTACTGGCGGAAACTTCCATTCACTTTCACAATTCCCACTAAGGACTGATATCTTATATAGGTCAATCCTCTGCTTCAGCCAATATTTTACAGCAGTTTAGATTATTGGTTCGCTAGGTAACAATAACTGATGTGTTATTTCGGAAGTGCGAACCACGCTACACCCCAAAGAAGGTTCGTATCTGAATACGAAACTTTCTGTGGGTCAGTACAACAAGTGCACATTTCTCTAATGGACACTGGCGGAAAAAAACATGCATGAAGATTAACTGGCGTTCAACAAGCAATCAATCATTGGATATCGTAGTCAACTTAAAAGCCACTGTCTCACATGTAGGAAAAACGCGTTGCTTTTCTTCTTTCCCATTTCAGCAAACGGTTGTCCGAACTCATTGTCATGAAATTCTGTGGTACAGTGGAATCTGAACGAAATTGGAGCAGGAACGTGAAATGCGGCAATTTTAAATCTCACATTACATTGCAATTACAAACATGTAAAACAAGATTTATTGTGAATGTTATATTGTTAATAACAGCGATGTCGGTAGAGAATTGTATTCGCCGACGTTTCGGTTACCGTGGGTAACCTTTCTCAAGGCAAGTTTTACAAACA